GTGATCTGAGAAGAAATGACAGTCGAACAAGAATTACTTCGATATAGCTTCAGCCCGGCGCACATCTCACATTCAGCAGTCGAGTAACACTGAGAGAAAAAATATTTGAAAAATAAAAAAATATTTATTCGGTAGGTATTGATATATATATTTATTTTAATCTAAATTCTTTTATTTCTATAAAGTAATTGCTTTTGTAATCAAAGTTTTGTAGAAATGTATATTTTCTTATTTAAAAAATAGACTGTATTGGCGTACGTTAAATATATTAGCACCCACTGAATGAATGTCTTTTACTTAGATATTTTTTTTCTCTCAGTGTAGACCGGTGATCTCACTCCTAAGATAAAAATATGAGAACGAGAAACTTTTGTTAAACTAAGAAAAGAAAAGAAGTATTGATACAACTTCAATTGATCATATTTGCGAAAATATCGCGGATTTGACTTCGCGATATAAAAGAGCCGCGACATGAAAGTATAATCTCGACATTAAAAAAAAAAAAAGAAAACAATAAAAAGAATAACAGCGTGATTAAGATAGTTACAAATATGCGCGATGTGCTTGGAAACTGAATGGGCTTCGACATTTTTTCCCGAAACGTTCCGACATTTTCTACTCGGCGGCCACTCGTCGAGGTTGCTGCGGGTATTTATCAGGCTGGCGTTTCATGGCATCTGCCGATCGATCGGCCGGACGAGTGGATTGTCAGAGCACCACCACCATAGCAAGCTCGGCATCATAGTGTTCGGCTACTCGCCGATATCGACTCGGCCTCCTGGTTGATCGGAAGCCACTTGTCGAGGAGACTCGTGGTGGTAATGACATCTTGGGACCTTTCAAGCGTCTCTCCCTTTCACTCTCTTTCTCTCTCTTTCTCTTTCACTCACTCTCTTTCTCTCCGAACGGATCCAACGACAAGCCATGACGAATCCACTGTATGATTCGTGAGCAAGCGTTCATGCTAAAGCAGGCTCCCGATTGTTTGTTCGTTCGTCGCGAGACTCGAAGTAAACTCGCGTCTCGCTGTGCGCTGAGAACGTCGCTCTCGGACGATGATCGTGCCGAAATCGTGGATCGTTTCGCCTCGCTCAAGCACGCTGCCGATCCGCGATGTCGGATTCAAGTCGCCCGCAGTCGCCAATCGATTCTCATACGCATATCCTGGGCCTGCCTCGCGAGGAAATGCGGAACAACAATACACGTGGAGAAAGCAGGCTGTGCGTAAGAGAGTCAGAAGCGGCTAATTGGATCGTTCGATACGATCATCATCGGCGGAACGGTGTAAATACAGCGCGGCTGAATGCACGACGCGAAGCCTCCGGCTACCAAGTTGCGAGTGAATGCTCAATCCGAGGTCTAATATTGAGTTTGCCTTACCAGTGATCAGAACCCAAAAAGGAACGCGATCAAATACACTTAACACAAAGATGCAACGAAAAGAAAAAAAGGATAACACTGGTAAATTTCTCGAATTGAGGCTTCTGTGACCTCTCGCCGCGGCCATCTTGATTAATGAAAAATGTATACCCGAAACTCTTGCGGAACACCTCGAAGTGACAAATAATGTGTACGACACTTGTGACCGATTGAGCACATTTGTAAAATATTCTGAGAACTCTCCTTTAACGATTAACAAATAGCCGTAAAATTGACGTGACAAAATCATGAGACAGGCTATAAGAAAGTTCGCATGTCACGTTCACTTTAAGATTACTTATTAATTGTTAGAGAACAAGAAGAATATTTTACAAATGTTGCCTAATCGCGCGATCCCAAAGGTCACTTTACCCGAGTAGAAATTAGTATTGATTAGGCGAACCCTAAATAGCGGCTCTAGCCAGCGATGCCCCAAAACAAGCGTGCCTTCGTGGGGCTCAGATATAGTCAAGATTGTCACATTCTGAATATAATTTCATGAGTAGGTCATAATTTGTAACAAGTGAATGTACTCTCGGGCGTCAATCGAGGGGACGCCGCGAACTTCTCCGCAACGTGCTATCGGAGCTCGATTTCGCATGTCGCGCAATCGCGCACATTTTACGTGGCATGCATCAACGAATCCTTCTATGCACTGTGAAGGACGGCAAGCAATTCTTGAGGTGATCAACCCACTACCAACCGCAAGCATACGGGAAGGAGAGACACACACGTGTACACACACAGGCTCAGATCGAGAACTCGTTAGAAGCGTCGGTGAAACGTTTAGAACTCAGAAAGAGAGAGGAGAAAGAGAAAGAGGAGAGTGAAAGAAAGAGACAGAAGAAAAGGGACAAGAGAGAGAAAAGCGTGCACGCAACGACACGTGCGGATCACATGAAAAGCGAGAAGCTCGCGGATCTCGCGTGACTTCGACGGTATCGCGAGAGAACTTGAGGCAAGAAATATTTCGCTGATTACTGCCCGGTTATTAAAACTCACGGACTCGCGAATGAAAAAAAGAAATTATAGGGTGAATCACATAATTATTGGCATTCTCCTGAGTCAGTGATATTCGAGAAAAACCTCGTTTCTCTTGCGATTAACGGCATCTGTTCACAGTTTTAATCGTAAAAGTCTCTTTTACAATCACGGTGCAGGCAAGAAGCTTAACTGCACCTGCTGGATGTATGAAAAATGTACATTTTCTACGGAGAAAATATTGCAGGAAAAAACCACAAATTATAACCATAAAATTTTATAAATCTTGGATCATAAAAGCATTGCGGCTGAAATTACTGTATATTTGTTTAAAAATATTATATTAATGTTCGACCTTTTACTACTAAAATTATTATAATCACTTGAGTGCTTTTCATATCGTATATTCGGTAAATCATTAAATTTACTACCTCTTTAGTAATTTGTACCAGAACGTTTAATCGAAAATGCGGAAATTCCAAGTCTAAGTCACGCGATCAAGAGACGTCGGAGGGTAAGATGCGCGATCAGAGCTGCTGGTTCGATCAAAAATCGCTCCTACCCTCGAAGAATTCGCGGCGTGGCGTGGCGCCGCGAGACGGGGGTGTTCCCGAACGAGGAGCTCGTGATCGCGCGCGAGAAAGGGTATCGAGCAGAAAGCTAAGGTGTGTTAAATGCATGTACGCGGAGGAGGACGAGGGATTGCAAAAGAGAGTCTCGTGAGAGGGACAGGGGGACCAGGTGGCCTATAGACAATAGTGAAGGGGCGTTTACCGATACTGATAAAGATATCGCGAGCTTGCACGGCGGCGTTCGGTGGAAATTGGAACGACCTCGCGAATCCGGGATATAGCGTCGCGAGGTCGGAACGGAGATTCCTCCCTCGTCGTTTTTGTTGCTTCGTCATTTTCTCTTTGCCTCCCTCTCCCTCCCCCTTCATGCGATTTTTCACTCCGCGAGGTGAACTACATCGGCGTTGTCCGGCTTCTTCTCGGTGAATTACCTCCGCGAGAAGCGGTAATTTAAAAAGGAATAAAGCTGTCTCTCTCTCTCTCTCTCCCTACCCTCTCGCTTCCTCCCTCCCTCCTTCCCTCTATCTCGTCGGAGCGCGGATTAAATTAACATCGGCGAACCGCGAACAAGAACGCGCGCACACGAATAAAACGTAGCCGCGTTAATTCGCGAACTTTTCGCAACTACCCCTACCGCCGTCCTTAACGTAAACCGCTGTTTAGCCACCGCTATCCGACGAACGAGCAACTACACGCACGCTGGACCATTTCGTTAATCTATAAAACTTTCCACCCCACCCCCGCCCTCTCCTCTCCCTCCTCCATCAAGGCCGCAAACCTAACCACAAGGTAATCCCGAGTAGTTACTACGAGTAGCACCGTAAACAGTCACCGCTGCTCCGCCGCGATTCCTCCTCCTCCTCCACCTCGAAACGCGATGAAGGTAAATTATCGAGAAACCGAAAAACGAATGAACAAGTAGAGTGCTGCGCAGATTCGATTCGCAGTAACATCCGGGCGCCTCGCTGTATCCAAACAACCGATTACACAATTACCCAGATAAATCTCATCCCTTCGCGCGCACTGAGAAAGAAATGGTATTTGTAACTATAATATAATCGCATAGTGAAAGATTTTTGTCAACTATTTTTGTAGTAAATGTTTAGCGATAGTAACTATAACCTTAGTAAGTAATAATAAGTAGTAAATAGCAGTAGTAGTGGTAGCAGTAGTACTAATAGTAGTAGATAGATGAATAATAGTAGTAGATAGATGAATAATAATAGTAGATGTATACTAGAGTAGACAGTAAGTAATAAATAATAACTTTATATGCATGCTGCTACTACTATCTTTTTGTTAATTAAATCAACAAAAAATATATGATTGAAGCAGAAAATAACTGTAACTCTAGCAACATTAACCATTTCTCCTCTCAGTGCGTGACACATGCGACCCGTTTCATCGCGGACCGATGGACTTCTCCCTCGCGATCGTTCCAATCTCTAGCCGTAGCCGTCGTGGTGAAATTTGGTCGAATATACCGAGGATAGTGTACAACGAGGGCACACCGAGAACACGAAGGGTAGAAGGTGTATCGATCTTCGGACAGGCGGAACGGAAATCCATCGTAAGTTTATGTTTGTTATCGGGTAGGGGTGGTGTAGTACAAGGTGAGAGAGTGACGATGATGGTAGTGACGGTAGTGGTGGTGACGGTGATGACGATGGTAATCGTGGTGATGGTGATGATCGAGAGAGAGAAAAGGTACGGGAGAGGGCGGATCACGAAAAACAAAAGACTTACGGCGTCTGCCACGAGGTGTGCGGGCGGGAGGGCTGCCTGCAAGTGTCCACTCTTCAGCAGGGGGTCGGCGAGGCCTGCCACGCTGGCGTGTAAGGGGTTTGGGTGGAGAGGATGATGTGGGGTCGTAAGGTGGGCCGTGGATAGGAGCGGGTGCCCGTGAGAAGCGGCGAAGGCCGAGGACGAGGGGTGGGCCGCGAAGGGCGAGGTCGCCAAAGTTTGGGTGTTCAGCGAGGGCGGGGTGTGCCCGGCAGCGGGCGCGGGCAATGGTAATACTGTACTTACGTCCGAGTGGGCGGGCACCGCGTAATTACCCTGGATGGTGTAGGCTTGCCCACCAGCCAGGATCACTGGCCCACCGACTTGGGGTTTGGGGCGATAAGGGATCGTGGCACCTTTGGGAGGGGACTGAAACAGAAAAAAACACACGCACGAGTGCGAATACACCGGTCGAGGCCACTGCGGAGAGGATTTTCATGCGGCGTCATCCACCTTGTCATCATGGGACTTTATCTTGTTAGCCTATTAAAGTCCAAACCACTTTGGGAAACATACATGGAAAAAACAGAACGGTTGGTCCACACAATAAATCTGGTTATACTAACCAAATTCAATAGTAAAATATAAAACAATTGATTCTGCAATTGCTGCAACCGTTGCAGCAATCGTTGAGTCACTGGCGTTGCAGCAGTGACGATATCTGGATGCTCCAACCAGAGTATATCCGTAGTAAATGTCACGGATTTCTGGTTGCCACAGATCACGCGCAACTACATTGATGTAGTTAATGTACCAAAGTAACTGAATCTTATCAACCGTACACAATACCATTACACAAAGATAATTGCGATGATGCAACTATGGCGCTCACGAAATATCTCTGGCTGTGTGCACCGTATCTTTTTTTTCCATGTAGCTTCGCGTTTTTTTGCGACAATAAGGAGATACAGTATATGGTCTGTGTTTTCACTAGACGTCGGAGAGTAATTGTAGTAGTTAACATCGATTCATTTTGGACTTTAATAGGTTGACCTGGTTCGTCATAGTTCGCCGTAGTGGTATCGATATTCTCGCATACTTAACATTTTGCTAGTCTCCCCGGGGATAGATTAGGTAACTGCACGGCAGGTCGAGCAGATACGAGAACGCCGACGAGAAGTTTGACGCGAGGCAAACACTCAGCGCGTTCGGGCCATTATTATCATATATATTGCGAACATCGCGCAAGGCCGGAAATTGTTCAGGTGCGACCATCGTTCTTCCGCCGAGACTGACTGAATCGATTGACGGCGTGGTAAGTACCGAATTGAAATTTTAATAGTCGGCGCGCGCGTGCGCGGCAATTATTCATCGGTGTACGACAATATCCGTGCAAACGACTCCAGCAATGTATCTTTAATCGAGTCGAGTGACACGCTCATTTATTACCATCACAGCGACGGTGTAGACTTGCTTTTAGATCCCGGGAGTAACAAATTTGTTCAGAAGAATCCAACGTACGAACTATGACGAGACCATAAAGCAAATGTATGCGTGTATACAAGATGTACACAGAGAGAACGATTTGGTTGAATCAAATAAGCACTTCTTTGGAACAGTCCAAACGAATTTTTTGATTGATCGAATAAAATTTTGTTTGACGCAACAAAAATATTTATTTGCGGTTTAATTTCAAAGAAATATTTTTGTTATGTCAATTAAGTAATTTGTTTGGATTATTCTAAAGAAACATTTATTTGATTCAATAAGTCGTTCTCTCTGTGCACGGCGCAACGCACACATTCTCTCGTGTGCAAGTAGAACTCGTCAAATTAAAAGAAAAAGCAAACAGCCGCGTAAAGTTTTGAGATATTAATTACTGAAAATTAGCCAATGAGTGTGTGTGACGCGATGGAACAGGTTCTTCAGACTGCCCGATATGGAATCTCATCTAAGGTGCCTGAATCAATTGACAATCTCTTGGCAATGGCGGACAGTACGTAATGCTAGACAGTGGAGGCGTGTACAGTACTATCTGTCCTTTATATCTCGAAAATTTATGTGGTTGTTTGTAAAAATGGTAGAGGACTTGCTCTTTCGTTCAGTTTGACGAATTTGACCTGCACACGAGAGGACATCGCGCCGGCTATATGCGATCATGTGATGTGACATCATATTAGTGATAATTTCTCGGAGCTATCAGCGTACGTACCTCTAGCATAACGCAGCAGATATGATATATGCACTGCGTAATCGCCTCGCTGGTACCGGATATGGTTACTGCACGTTCCGTAGAATTCGGTAACATCTCGGATGCGACCTGGATGGAGGCACCAGTGACCTCGCGGATCTCCTTGATCTTGGAGCCGCCCTTGCCGATGAGGGAGCCGCACTGTGAGGCTGGCACGATCAGTCTGAGCGTGATGGGCGGCCTCGAAACGCCGCCACCGCCACCAGCACCACCGCCCTGAATGTCGTGGAACTGAGAGCACCATTCCTCGAATTTCTTGCATATCAGCGTGAACGCCTTGAAGATCGAGTTGGTTGGTCCGGTGACAGTCACTATCCGCTCCGGACAGGAACCGTCAGAGATATTGATCTTCGCGCCGGACTGCGAACGAAGAAATATTACCGATCGCGGGATTCTCGAGCGTCCACTGAGAGTGTGAATGTATGTATGTGTGTGAGGGAGAGAGAGAAGAGTTATTTTCAGTCGCGCCAGCATTCGACGATCGATGTCCGCGATTTTGAGGGATTTCGCCGAGCTGATAAATGTCGTTCCGGCGTATATTTTTTTAGTTCGTGCTGTAAAAGATTACAGAGAGTGACGCGCGACACATCTCTCAGCGACGTTGCATGAACAATTTGAGAGAATGATGAAGAAGGTGAAGAGACAAAAAACGTGTTAGCGTATCTGCGTGTCTTTGATAGCTGAGAAACCGACCGGTCGCGAGACTGTAATAACAATTTACATGTTTTCATGCAAAGTATCGGGCTCTGATACGTGAAGTTACGGTGACGATAACGCGTGACTCTCGTTTTTTCTCTCTCTCTCTCTCTCTTTCTTTCTCTCTCCACATCATCGGAACACAAGTCTCTCATGCAACAAGGACGTGATTGACACCAACCTCTTCGCGGAACCTCTTGACAATCTCTCCTTTTTTCCCGATAATGCTGCCGACTTCCTGCAACGATAAAAACAAAAGAAATATTCCATTAGTTTAGAGTATTGTTTGAAACCATGTGTGATGAATCCTCTCTCTCATAGATTCCATTAGGTGCTAAAGCGCGCTTCGTTACTATGGAAAAGTTCAGCGATCATCAACAGAGATCCGGGTCGGATCGCTACAGAGACGAGAGATGGACACACGTGCACTCGACGCCAGTTATCGTAATAAAAGATATAATTCGTAAATTACACCAGCTGTCGAGGACGATCACTCCAAACGAGCGGTATAATCGCGGCGTGTTTTTTTTTTTTTTTTTCATCGCGATACACGACCATCCACCATCCACGGCCGATGAAACGGATGCTGGTCCGTTAAGCGCGTTGATGTATATCATCGCATTCGTGGACGGGAAAAGTCCACGAACGAGGAAGCCGTCGTAAGAGGCGCACGAGACGAATATCGCGGCGGAATTGGCGCGAGAGTGCCTATAATTAGCGCCGGGATGCACAAGTAGCCGATGTCCACCCAGACACCGCGCTCCATGTCGTCCGCCCTGACACTGTCTGACCTCAAGATAATGTCACTGTTAGAGTCTTCTGGGCGAGCAGGTATGCGTCTCACCGCCGCTCCCTCTAAACTTAGACGACGTTCCCCGGACGAAATGCCAACGTCTCTTGGACAAGTTGACGAGTTTCGCCGTTGGCTTTCCACCGTCTCTCTTTCCCCTTTTCTACGCTCGCAAGGATCAAAGTTGCGTGTGTGTGGAATCCTTTTTTTTTCTAAAGCCCCACGGAGCATAATTTACTCTAAAAATCGAGTTTTTTAAAATAACTTGAAAATTATAACTTCTTGCATGGGCTTGTATTGGCTTTTCTGATCTAAGTTTGCACAAAAAAGGAATATTCTTATTTGGAAGATATCTCTATTTTTGACAGATTAATCTTCAAGTGATATTACATAACGTTAAATAAAGATAAATCTGAAAAATCTATTATTAAAAACTAATTTCGATTAATGGAAAGCATAAAATATTGAATTGAAAATATGATATTAAATGTAGAAAGAAGTTATTATGATCACTAAAATAAACATACTGCACTTTTCATAAGACTATAATATACAAATAAAACTATAATATTATCGAAATTCAAGACTTGAGAATTCTTGTAATAAAAGTTCATGTCGTTGTTTATATATGAAATAATGGTCATTAATTCGAGTACCTTAATCTTAAGTGAATACTAAATTTGTTTCTGGGTGTGTCTATCTGTGATAATTCGCGCGTTTTTTTCCTTTTATTTCAGAAGAATTGCGATATATGTATAAGAGAATTCCGCCAAAGATGAAATTATATTTTCCTGGGTGTGACGTAACAGTTTCCGATGGCTGTCGATATCGCTGATCGATGCTTCGCGTTGAAAGTCTTGCTTGAATTGACGCTGCAACTGCGAATTTAGCGTGCGACGTGCGATTTAGCGTCGCAACAAACAGGCACGCGAGGATTGCGTGTCTGTCGGGGGGAGGAGGTCGCGCTTCACGTTGCATTACGTTGCGTTACATTGCGTTACGTTCGAGCACGAAATTGCGAACTAGCGATGAATACCGACGAAACATTCCCGCATAGACGACAACGACGACGTTGTCGTCATCGTCGTCTCCGTGAGCACGCTGACCCTAATTATGTTTACACGCTTGCATGGGATCGCCGTCTCGCGAGCGGCGCGCGAAAGTAAATCAGCGACGACGTCGGCCCGGAGGCGGCGGCGGCGGTCGTGAATTCCTATTGACCGTACACGAGGTAGCGCGACTGGACAAACGTCATCGTCGACGAATTAGACGCACGCGGCCGAGGCAAATTTAGCTGGAACAAGAAGACAGCGAGACGATGAGGGAAGAAGAGGAAGAGGGGGAGGAGGAGGAGGAGAGCTTGGCTAGCCGCCAGACGCAAGAGGTCACCGACGATCGAGAAATTCGCGAGATTGCAAATCCTCGAAGATCGCGGATCGCAGTCGAGCCGCGTTATCAGCCACCGGCAGGACTCAGGACTGTTGCAGCTTCTCTCTCTCTCTCTCTCTCTCTCTCTCTCTCTATACTCTTCAACCGCAACTCCACTCCTCCACCCACGAATGACGGCATCCATCCACGGCTCGAGAGTGCCGCTATGTATAGCTGCACTGTCGGTCAATAGTTTCGAGAGTGCAACCTACTTTTATGAAATGGGATTAAAAGTTTTCCAATACGCCGTCCCACTTACGCCGTCCTGTATCTGCGCCATTGTTATACGCGAAACGTCGCAAAACTGCGGCGAACGTATGACGGGGTATCGATAATTGGAATGTTTTTCCGAGAAGAATCCACGCGTTCGCGCTGAAATACGTTTCCAGCGCTAATTTCGGCTCTGCCCTCCTATATTCTTTACCCATCTCCCCTCTCCCTCGTCTCTACCTGGCATCAGCGCGAAACAAACACGCTCTAAGCGCAAAGTGCAACAAGTGGCGTGAGCGACAAAAAAGGAAAGAAAAAAAAAATCTATGAAAAGATTATTAGCAAGAATGTAATTACCGGAGTCACAAAGGGAGTCCCCGGAGACTCCGACTCGGCGAGACGAAATTCAAAGTGGCTCTATTTTGCATGCCAGACAGATTTTCTCGCTTTGCGCGCCCCAGGAGAGGGATAGATTAAGGAAGTCCTATGGACAAGCAGCTCCAAACTTGATCGTGGGTATCACCTCGCAAAAATGCGGCGCACCTGTGGCAAAAATTACTGAAACTACCGAGAAGTTGCTACGATCGCGTGCCGGCGACCAGGGACGATTCCCAAGGATTGCTTGGCCAACGTCACTGGCGGCGGTCCAACTCTCACCGGAGAGTCCAGGGATGTGCCCGAAAGCCAGTCCGCGGAAGAGGATGATACACCAACGTATCGGGGAAACGTGAGGAGGCAGCGAGTAAAACAAAGCGTCCTTTTCCTTCCCCTTTTCCCACTTCCGAGAGTTACTAATTGTCGTCCGTCGACTAAATACCGCCGGTGCGACACCCAATGGACGGAGACGGCCGGCCGGGGGAAGAAAAGGAGCGGGAGAGGGAGAAGGTGGCTGATCACCGCGTAGCCAAGACGGAAAGAAAATATTGGGATAACAGCGAACAGAGTCCGTAGACTGATAGATAAGCTGAAGCTTGGAGCCCGGCCAAATATTTACGTCGTATCCCGCTGTATCGTGACAGATAGGAGAGACACGACCGTGACATTGTTCGACGAAACAACGGGGGAAACGACGCCGCGTAATGGAGGGAGCCGATGGAATCGGGGTACCAATGTTCCCAGCTATAGCTTATAGCTGCTTTTATCTACAGCTATAGTTATAGAGGTTAAATTGTGATGAGTAACGAGGATAAGTAATAATAAACATCACCAGACATTCGCTAGACTCCAACTAAACGCAACGTCGAAAGACTACAGCCCTCTCTCAATATTATCGTTCGTTGAGAAAGCATAGAACGTGACTTTTGAAGCCACAAAAGCAAAAATGAATGATAAGTGCGTCCTCCAAAGCACAATGTGTAAAAATTAATCAAAATACTAATTGGTTAAATTTAATTCTAACAAATAAGTAATGATAAACGTCATCAGATATTCGCTGAATTCCAACTAAATGCAACGTCCTTAGTAGAAATTGGGCGATTTTATGCATTTATTTATGCGTGTTAAAATTGACGAGCGAGAGAGACTTCTACGATCGACCTCGGCGTCCGTTCACAATCGGTAAGATAATTGAATTACGAATAATTCTTGATGCACTAGTCGATTGGCTTCTGGCCCTGGCCAGGGTCCAGCCCGTTCACCAATAGGAGACGGTGCATACTCTTCCTGAGGAGACATAATGCCCGTTGGTCGGCCAAAAATGCGGCCAGACGTATTTATTTCGCGCGAGAAGGAGAGGCCGCTCGCTCGACTATCCGTTTAGCCGTGCTTGCGAGGTTTCCAAAGTGCGACAGTTTTGCAATACGCGCGTTCTGCGACTGTGCCGACGGCACTGGCTAAAGAAGCGTATAATTAATAAACGTCCCTGAGATCAACACAGCGCGCCGGCCATGTCCGAATTGCAACGTCAACGCGACGAGCCGATAGCGATCGATGTGTCGCGGCAACGGTTTCCATTAGAAACAAGCAAGAGCCGCGCGCGCGTGCACACACACACACACACACACACTGATAATAATCTTGGTCGATATGTGTGATATTACGTAGAAATGAGAGAAAGTCGTTTCGAGTGATTCATTAGAGGAGAATCTGGAAAGTTTCCAAAACGACGACTGTCCAAATAAGAACTGAAACTGCGCGCGCGACGCGACGAAATAACATTAAATGAGCATCAAATTATCACAGGATTGACGACACATTACGAGTAATATTGGGGGAAAGAGGAATGAAACGTTTTGTTGAAACAAAAAGCAAAGTCAGCTCGCGAAGGGGAAAAGTCGCGATGTTTACAGTCACCTTTTTGGACTGATTCTTGTTTATCATCTCGCGGCGAGCGCACGCGTAATTAGTCCGGCTGTGTTTGCCTTCGCGATCAATCTCCGAGCGAGATCATTTTCACTCCGCTGTAGCAACAAGCGGAATACGCTGGGGAAAAAATATACGAGAGGAGAGGCCGGGAAAGAAGGGCGGGAGGAAAATCCTTGGATATACCCTGACGACGTCGGCGTCATCGTCGGGACGAAAAAACACCGGTATAATGAGATTTGTCGCGGGAATATTTCTTCGTGCCGGCGACGTGGGGTGCGTTTAGGGGCGCGATAGAAGAATCAGATCCGGCTGAGGGTCGACGGAGCGTTAGGAAACCCTCTAAAAGAGAGAGGGATGAAGAGCAAGGCGTATCGATGGAGTAAAGAGAGTCGAACTTCGAACGAGCAGGGCTTCAAGCGGCCGAGTATCATTCAAATATGCAGGAATATGCAGTAATTTCTATGCCGCACTTTAGCACGAACTCGTGAACGTGTATGTGTGTGTGT